AATACTATCTGTAAAATTATCTATGTAAACAAACCTCATCACTTAAGAAGGTAGGTGATGCGGACATCGTGGAAGACATTTTGTCCCGTAACGCTCGCCGTACTGTTGGGGGGGAGAAGCGGTGGGGGGAAGATGTTCATGTTGCTGCAGTCTGCAGTCTGGATGTTAGATGTCGCTGAAAATTACACACTGTAGCTTTAAGAGAACTTACAAAAGTCTCAACTATAGAAATAGTATTATACTTAGAAGAGGATTAAAAATTATCTGCTCCTGTAAAGGTTATACAGTATCAACATCCTCTAAAAATCTAAAGGATTGCAAAAAAGTAGTTCAAGCCCCCCAAAATACATTAAAATGTGAAACTGTAGAATCCCTAAATAAATATAAGCCAAGTCCTCTGAAAACTATCAGAGAAAAAGCAGAAGTATTTGTGCCAAGGTTTTTGTCACAGCCTAAATCACTGTGATACGTACTCATTAACAGAGGTGTCCCATGTTTTACAGTAATAAACTGCAGAGTCTCCTTCTTCTATGTTGTTGATGATCAAACGATAATCTGATGTTGACTGATGAGTGGAAGTGTGTCTTGCAGAAGGGAACCCAGTGTCATATCTGGGTGAACTCCAGCCATGATAAATTCTCAGCATATAGAGAGGAACTCCTCCTGGGATCTGCCTGTACCAACGAGCTTCGCTGTTAGTAACAGTCCCCAGGTTACAGTCCATGGTGGCTGTCTCTCCTTTCCTCACCGTCAGAACTGAAGGCTTCTGTGTCACCACTGTCACTCCACTCACACCTGGAAACAACAAGAAGACATAAAGTTAAGAGAAACACAAAGACTGATGAATCCAACAGGAGCTCCAGTCTGCAGTAAGTCATCCTGCTTACATGTTAGAGCTGTGATGAGAGAGCAGAGCGTCCCCAGCATGTTGCCAGTTTTTGCTGAGAATGATCTTGGATTTTCTAAGGGTCACCTCACTGCTGACAGATGGTAGAGTTTAGAGGATGAGGAGAGGAGGTGGAGGAGATATTTATCAGAAGACTCAGACTAACAGGAACAGACAGGAGGAGGAGCTCTGAGACTTTATAAAGTGAGGCATTTCTTTGACCAAATATGTTTTCTGATAAGCTTTTTTGATATTTAGTAAACACATCTTTTATTGTAAAAATGGGTATTTATTATATAATATTTATCTCGTCATATTTATCTGACATAATCTGATAAATGATTAAGGTTGCAGACTTGCAGTCCCTCATTGTAAGAGGTGCTCTGCCTTTTATACATTAACTGAGGGCTACAAGCTGCTTCATTTTGATTATATCATTGTTTTTTTCACATGTTACGCTTTAGCTATAAAAAGTTTTGTAAAATTAATATTTCAACTATTTTTGACATTTATTTAATCTATGTTTTATGTAAACTGAGAAACAAATGAAAATCTTGGATGCTCATGTTTAAGGCCTAACCAAGGTTATAATTTTATCTTAATATTAAAAGAAAAACATAAACCCTTTATTAAAAGTTCAAAGAATCATAATACAAAAACATATGACACAAGGATCTGACTCTAACAAGTAAGAATATTTTTTTTACTGTTTAGCATCTAGGCTGGGGAATTTCTGTTTTTGCTTCCACAGTTTTGGATCCAATATTTCATGATACCATCCCATAATAAATTATTTCCATCCATCTTGTCCAGTCTAGTCCTGTCAGGGTCGCAGTAGGGCTTGTGCCTGTCTCCTGCAGTCTATGGGACAGAGGCGGGGTACACCCTGGACACGTCGCCAGTCTGTCATAGGGCAACACTGAAACACAGAACCGTGCACACACTTACACCTTAGGACAAGGAGGAGAAGCCTATTAACATAACAGTCAGATTTGTATACTGTGGGGGGAAGCCAGAGTACCTGCATAGAACAAATGCATGCACAGGGAGGACATGTAAACTCAGTTCATACAAACCCATGGACCACCGTGCTGCCCATGTTATTTATTAACTTTTTCAGAAGAACTATTTGAACTTTGGAACTATTTGAAAAATATCTTTTCTCTAACAAAGTATTTGAAAAAATCTGTGCCATATTAGATGGCTCGTGCTTACTCTGACAACTGGTTGAAGCTCAATACTAAGTTGTAACATTTGCTTATATTAACACTTCTTCTGATTCTTGCTGCTGTGAAGTTATGGTATTTTTAAATTCCCAACCAAAGAACCAAAGGTGATCTTGAAGAATTAGAGCAACTGAAACATGTTTAAACCAATTCATAACATGTATTAGGAAAATGAAACATTATTTGGCAAAATAATGTTACATTAAATGGTCTGCTCAGTCAGAAATCAGTAACCTTTATTTAACTGATTCCTAACCTTCTTTGATTGAGCTAGCAGCTAGCAGACATGCAGCAATTTCATACCGAAGTTAGCCACAAAGTGTCGCAGCATTTGATCAGTCTGCAGAATCGGGTCCTTGATTGGCGGTTTTCCATATAAGGGTTAAAAACTCAAGAGAATCTCATGCTCTCCCCTTATATGAGGTGCCTCCTACTCCATGTTAAACTCATTGAAAATAACAGGGACAAGTAGCATCATGCAGTTCCCAAATATTAATATTCATAAAAAAGAACAAGAACTTGCTTAAAGTTTTGTTTTAGTGGTAAACATTTTAGTAGGTTTTATTAAGTTCTAAGGCAACATGATAATATATCTGATTGTCATTTGAACGTTTGTCTGCTTCAATCATGTTTCAAAGTTTTATCTTGGATATATCATCACTGTAACTCTAACAAACCTTTGGCCATATAGTTATTAAATTAATAATTGAAAAAAAATAATAATAATTGTTAGTTGTTTCCCTAGTTCTGAATAAACAAAAAACTTATTTTCGTTTGAATAATAGAAATTTTGATTTAACTGTAGTCAGTTCTATGGTAACATGTTAATATTTCTGATAGTGGTTTTTTTATTCTGTATTCTTGTCCTGGCTGGAACTGATCACCTGTCCAGCTTTGTCTTCCACTCAAATCCAGAGAAAATAGATTGACAGCATAGAACCCTGTAATCCTAAAAAAGGATAAAAGGGACTACAATCAAGGATTGACCTTTTATCAGAAAAATGCATAATAAGTAAATTCATATATTGTAAAATATGAAAGTAGAGTGAGTGTAGTTTAACATAAACCAGTCACATTTTCTTCAGCTTTAACCCTTGAACATGTTTGAAGCTTCCTGGTTGTATCAATCTCTGCCTGTCCGTTTTAAAAAGTGAAATCTTGCATGGATACAGTCTGCAGAAATCTTTTGTTTGCCTTTGTTTATGTCTGCACAACAGAAAGGGAGCTCAGATTTCTATTATCCTCAGTACTTAAATATCATTGCTTTTCCAATACTGTTGTAATGTTACATATGTATAAATACAAATGTTAAAATACACAAAAGCTTCTTTTTGAAATTAATAAGGCTGGTTTATCAGCATGAGTTATTACAGAAATGCATTATCCTTAATGTAAGTATTTTGTTAGTTTTTTTTTTTCTTACAAAAAAGCAAAGCAAACTTCGTATTGGGTGATGTAACAAGTGCTTACAATACTGTACATACCAAACCTCATTGTTAGTCTAATGAATTTCCTCCTCCCTCAATTCTCCTCTCCTCAGTCTCTTTATAAGCCTCTGGTTCTCTCCTCTCTTCAGTTCAACTTTCAGCTGGACAGAACCAAACCTTTACACCACAAACTGACATCATGCTGGGGATCCTCTGCAGTCTTGTCACTGCTCTAACATGTAAGATTCTTCTCAGAGACCTTAACATGACTATTTTCACATGCAAACCTTTTACTCATGATTTTCCCTGCTTCTGTTGCCAGATGTTGATGCAGCGATAACACTGACCCAGATACCTCCTACTGAGACCGTCTCAACAGGACAACAAGTTGTTTTAAAATGCAACATTCAGAGAGACGATCAAAACTTAGTCAGATGGTTTAAACAAGTTCCTGGTGGAGTTCCTCAATATGTTCTGAGTTTTCGCCACTCCGATAGTGCACTCCGCTTTGGAACAGGATTCTCTTCAAACCGATTCAACTCTAAATCCACCTCAAGTATAGATTTTCAGTTTATTATTAAGCAGGCAGAGGCAGGAGACTCTGCTCTTTATTTCTGTCAGACATGGGATGACTCTGCAAATGAAGCTGTATCACAGTGATTCACAGTGTGACAAAAACCAACACAAGACTCAAACTCTATAACTAATAAAATGTATGAAGATTGAACAGTTCACAGCACACAGTTATTAACAAAGAAAATAAATGTTACTGTTTCAACATGTCTACAGAGGACAATGTGTGTGTTTTATAATAAAAGCAAACAGATCAAGAAAATGAGATATTTTCAGTGAAAGTTGGTCTCAGCAGGTTTCAGTTCCACTCCCTGATCAGAGACTATCAGGAGGTTTTTGTACGGCCATGTATACAAACTGAATCACTGTGGTATTCGGCCAAGGAACCAAGCTGATTGTAACAGGTAAGGATTTTTTTTTTTTGATTACTTTAAAATAAGATTTTTTCTAATTTTCTGTTTTATTGTTCAAGGATTATTTTTACATATATATATCTAAAGAGTAAAAGTACATATTTTGGTCATTTTTTGTACTTTTGTTTTGCTTTGATCAAATGTTTGGATCTAATACAACTGAAACAGCGTTGAACTAAATTATGTAAAATTGTTACAAAAAGCTGTATACTGTTCTATCAAATAAGTTTAACATGTTTTACAAATTGATTATTTCCTTCTGAGACTGAAAGAAGCAACATAATGTAGAAATATCTGTATTTAAATTATACAGGCTGATAAAAAGAAACAGCATTGTGCTTTTTTAAAGCAACTTAAATCAATAAGGATTCAGAAAAACTGAACAAGTGATATCATACAATTTGCTATTTAATTTGTTAACAGTGCAATTTTAATAGGATAATTTTTTTTTCTAATTTACCATTCACTTGAAAATAAACCCAAGTTTTTATTAAACCACATATTTTACATTTTTATATTTTTGATTAAAAAAAAATACATCCCACCATCCCTTAAAAACTAATAACTCATAATGATAATGAGGTTGTAAATATACCCTTTTCCGTAGTAAATTCACAAGAATATAGAGTTTCATAAATGATTATTGTTTTTCTATCTTTCATAGTGATGTCATGTTCATTATCTTGTGTTATAAGTCACAACTGACTGGAGAATAACGTCAAACAAATCCTCAGTATCCTTTTAATTACTGACTAATCAAATTTATTAAACTCATAAATCTTAGTATAATAATAGAAAATGCTAAACAGCTTAAGTGTCATTATATATTATATATATGGGTTTTGTAATATGACTATGCTATTTTGTTGCTTACATACGTAATTGTGTTATTTGATAATGTCCTCCATGTCCTTCCAGACTCCAGTCTCCCTCCTCCTGTCCTGACTGTCTTCCCTCCATCCAGTGCTGAGCTACAGACCAACAAAGCCACTCTGCTCTGTCTGTCCAGTCAGTCTGGGCCTTTTGCAGATGTGAGCTGGTTGGTTGGTGGGAGTCCAGTGACCAGTGGGATCTCTACCAGCACTGCTGTTCAGAGACCAGACCAGACTTTCCACATCAGCAGTTCTCTGTCCATCCAGACATCAGACTGGAACATGAATAAGGTTTATACCTGTAAAGTGTCTTTGGGCTCCCAGACTGCAGAGAAAACCATCAACAAGTCAGGATGTCCTGCTGAAGAACAGTAGAGGACCACAATCATCTATAATCTGCTTCTTTATTGTTTTGCTTCTAACCAGATTTTAAAAATAATGTTTTTTTCGACAATTATTGCTGCATCTAATTTCTTTTTCAATAAAAAAAATATATATTAAAATTATAGACTGATGTGCATTTCTATAAATATTAATGAGAGTAGCTGTGCGTCAGTACACTTTGCCTGTGATAATGATGATAATGATCATTGGAAAATAAAAAGGGTCTGCATTCATAGAGTGTATTCATGTGTTTCTATCTTGTACATTTTCAAACTTTATTCTTTCAATCAACTTGAAGAAGTAGGAAATATACAGAAGAGGATTAGGGCCACTGGAAAAAAAAAAAGTTAACTGATTTTTAAATTTTATTTCAATTTAACATGGGAAAAAAGTCAGACTTTTTTTCTCAGAATTCTGACTTTAATCTCAGAATTCTGACTTTTTCCCCATGTTAAACTGAAATGAAAATTAAAAACCAGTTAACTTTTTTTTTTTCAGTGGCCCTAATCCTCTTCCGTAGAAATATGTAGATACAACATAAAAGAAAAAATAATGTATGTTTAAGTTCTTATAAGTTAATGATAGTCTGATAGAACAGATAAAAACAGATTAAAAACAGGGGATAATGTATTTATTTTTTTCAATCAGTAAAGCATAACTTTTTTCTTCTCTCCACCTCTTCAGTTTACAGACTTCCTCTGGGTTTTTTCTCTTCTTATGTTAATAATGAAATAAGGTTTAAGAGGAAACAATCCCTGAGATACTGAGGGTAATATTGGCAAGTTAAAGCTTAATGAATCCTAAGTTCACATTAAAACAGAGTAGGTTATTAAAGAAACATTTAAAAATATCTAACAAGAAATAATCAACTATATAACAAGTGACTGTGATACATAGTATTTATGAACATTTCATTATGTCATCATCCAAGGATAGTTTATTTTAAGTTAATTATTGATACTTGATGATTTGAAAGAAGTAAAAAAAAAACGTTTGCAGGTCCCAAGAGAGTCCGAAAACTGGAGCTCCTCATTTACATGAATGTATAAATATAGAGTAAAGGTCTGCAGCTGCATCCTGTAAGAACAGAGAGGAAGATGTAGATAGAGGTTTCACTGACAAGAACTGAAAATCTGTTTAATTGGTTGCAATGATTAAATATTTATATATTTTTTTGAAAATCGAAACAAAAGCTGATTTACTATCATAAGGATTGTTTGTGTCTGAGGTATGGAACAAAAAAAATAAAGTTTCATTTATCATCACAGGGAAGTTCTAATCTAATATCTAACACTTAAAAAGATTGCTAATTAATAATCACATCATCTTCTAAAAAATCTTTTTTAATGTGTGAAGTTGTTAAAAATTTAATTTAGTGCTGCTTCTGTGGTTAAACTGACTGATACATTTATCTTATTCTATTTAGAGGTTAAATTAGAGTTTTAATTGTGAAGATCAGGATTAAGCGGTCATACATTTTGTAGGAATTGCTCATCCTGGAAAAGAGTGTGGCTACAGCACAGTAGACTTTAATTTGCAATGTGTCACTGGCTTTGGAACAATCCATCACATGGAGCATGCATGCAGTGAAAGTGGAGAGGAAAAACTCCCTTTGAACACGTAGAAACCTCTAGCAGATCAAGGTTATTTACCAGAACATCTACCACAAATCTCAGCCTTCAAAAGCATCAAAATCTGCTCCAATCCGAATACTTTCTCTCCAATGAGGGACATGTATATGGCTGTTACTGTAATTTTTTACTCTGCCATTGACCTGAACCTTGTTTCTCAGATGAGTCCTCATGTCCATTAATACACCAATAAACCCATTAATACACCAAATATAAATTTACTTAGATTTCAGGTCAGAAGGCTCCTCCATTGTGCAGGCACTCTTTTTAATTAAATCACAAAGATATTGATAAGATATCAAAGGCATCTAATTATGATCTAATCAGGCATTTTCAATTGGGATATAATTCAGTATTACACTCTAACCTCAGATTCCTAGCCGTTTCCAACACCATCTCATGTTGTGAACAATTTCTGCACAATTCAGGTGGAGCAGAGAAACTAAATACTTTTCTGCACATCTTTAGTCCTGCCCTTTTATTACAGAATGAAGAGGTCCCTGATGACCTCTGCGCTCCAGATGTTTACCATCCAACCAGCAACTCCAAAATGTCTAGAGGTCCAACACTATTCAGCGATTTTAGTGGCACAAAATATATTATTTACTTCCATCCTTCTATTACAACGTCTAAGGTGCTAATGTAGTGATCAAAGTACAGATGAGCTGCATGTGCCTGATTGATTTTTACAGGAACCTGTATGGATGACAACCATATTTGACAGTTTCTGCCCAATAGGTCAAAATCAAGTTTAACATATTATAGAAATGGAGGTAAGTTTAACTATATATTCACTGCAGGATATATCTTGTGATTTTTTTTACAGTCATCTGATTAATTGTAAATAGGGTCTCAATCAGTCAGATCCAATCATTCAAGGCATGTATCCCAATTCGATTCAAGGAAATGTTAATTTAATGATTTTGGTTTCAAAATTTTTGTTTCATGTTATTATCTTCAAAACTCGACAAAGACAATAATAATCTATGAAATTAAATCTTTAATTCAATCCAGCTTTCTATTTTGAGAGCTAACAATAATTAAACAACTGAGAGAAGTATCAATCAGAAAACATACAAATAAGAAGCTTCTAATGTATAATCATATGTTTTTGTTAATGATATTTATGTTTTCTGTAAATTAGTGACCATCATTTTTAAGATGCTGCAACAAACTTTGGTAAAAGACAGGGTAGAGGAATGTAAAAAAAAAACAAAAAAGAAACCGTTAGGTAACTCTGCAGAGTGGTCAGAACTTTAGTTGCATTAACATCTGCAAACAAAATGAAAGACATGAGTGATATGTTTGAAAGACAACATATGGAATGCAAAGACGATATTTACATGTTGGAGGACTGATGGCAGCCCAGAGGGTCCACAACATTGGTCCTGATAAATATCTCCTCCACCTCCTCTCCTCATCCTCTAAACTCTCCCATCTGTCAGCAGTGAGGTCACTTCAGAAGGTCAAAGATCATTCTCAGCAGAAACTAACAACATGTTGGGGACCCTCTGCTCTCTAATCACAGCTCTAACATGTAAGCAGGATGACTTACTGCAAACTGGAGCTCCTGCTGGATTCATCAGTCTGTGTGTGTTTTTTTTTACTTTATGTCATTTTGTTGTTTCCAGGTGTGAGTGGAGTGACAGGGGTGACACAGAAGCCTTCAGTTCTGACGGTGAGGAAAGGAGAGACAGCCACCATGGACTGTAACCTGGGGACTGTTACTGACAGGGCTGCTTATTGGCATAAACAGATTCCAGGAGGAGTTCCTCAGTATGTGCTTTTCTTTTATCATGGTGATAGTTCACCATTCTATGGTTCTGGGTTTTCATCTCCAAAGTTCACTTCTAGTCATCAGTCAACATCAGATTATCGTTTGATGATTAGGAATGTTGAAAAGCGAGACTCTGCAGTTTATTACTGTAGCACATGGGATGACTCTGCTAAAGAGACGGTATCACAGTGATTCACACCATGACAAAAACCTTGTCAATACTTCTGCTTTTTAACTTGTTGATATGTGATGCATAAAGGATAAAACATTGCAAGGCAGAATTTTAAATCCTTTAAATCTTCCTTTAATGTAAATACAATGAAATATTATGGTTGTTTAAGCTTATTTATTGAACACAGAAGAATGACAGTGAGAACATTCTATTAAAATTGCATTTTTCTAAAAACACGAAGCTAAAGGCTCCCTATGAAAACACCATTTTATAAAAACTCCCATCTCAGTTTAACAACTAAACTTAGGAAAGTACACAATCTGGACCTAATAAAGTATTTTCTGAATTGTTTTTAATATTTTAAAAAACTAGCAAGTCTTATTAACAGCTTGATTAATTATTTACTTCAGTCTAATTGTAAAATCGAGGATCATATGTATACCCTTCCACAATCAAAGTACCTTTATCAATAGAACGTTATTTTTTCATCTTTAATGGTCAGAAACCAAAGAAAAAAATTAGACAATATAAATTATTCACCCAAAAAAGCTAAAACTTCATAAGAAAAATAAAATCAAACCATTATTTTTTTCTTCATGTAAGCTCCAGCAAAATGGATCCTTACTGTAAACATTGATTCTAAGACTGAAAGTAAATTTTCCCTCTTGCCCTGTTTTCATTTACCTAGATTGTTATACTTTGAGTCAGCCTTCTCTTTCAAAAGTTCAACTCACAGCTATATTTTTAGGAACACATGTAGCGGCCCCTCGGATTTATTGATAAGACGCAGAGAGTTTCAAACGGGTGTCGGTTTATTTCGTTTTTTCCTCAACGAGCACCATGCATTACACCTTGAACACCGTGAAAACTAGAGAAAAAACAGAAGAAATACAAAATGCTACAGAAAAAACAGAAGAAATA